AAGCAAAACAACCAGGGACATAGCTCAAGCAGGAGGCTCTGAGTTCAATCCATAGTACTGCCAAAAAACCAAAAACTCAACATATTTCATTACTTTAATAAAATGAAGGAGGAAAACCATATAATCAACTTGGGAGAGCAGAATAGTGGTTTAAAAATATTTCATATCAATTTGTGATAAAAATTCTTAGCAAAGAAGGAAAATTAAGAAATCCTCCTCCTTTATCTGATAAAGGGTATCCATGGTAACTGAATGATAATATTATACTTAATATCAATCCTTTTGAAATAAAGAACAAGACTAAGATCTTTGCTATTGACATATTCAACATTTTATTCAAATTCCTAGGCAGTGTTATAAGGTGATGGAAAAGAGATAAAAGGATACAGAAGATGTAAGTAAGAAAGACAATAAAACTGTTATTTATATATGGTTTTACATATAGAAAGCTTTAAAATATTTATAGGCAAATTTTTAGAATATGTAAAAGAATTATGTGAATAGAAAGTGCAATACAGAGATGTCAGTTATTTTTCTCACTATAACAAATGATAGAAAATAAAATTAAACAAAAGGGTATCCAAAATAGTGTAAAATGTCAAATACTTGAGAGTAATCAAGCTGGGCGCCAAAGGCTCACGCCTGTAATCAGGAAGCAGGGATCAGGAGGGTTTAGTTTCAAATCCAACTCTGGCAAATAGTTCCTGAGACCCTATCTCGAAAAAACCCATCACAAAGAAAAGCTGGTGGAGTAGCTCAAGGTGTAGACCCTGAGTTCAAACCTCAGTACCCCCCCAAAAAAGTAGTCAAACAATAAATATACACGATATCTATGCAGAAAATCATAAAACATCACTGTAATAAATTAAAGGCATATGCAAGTAGAAAGAAGGGGTAATTATTTATGTTGGAATCTTCTTCATACATTGTGACACCCCTTTGAACATTAACTTAAATATTAATAATGAAAAACAGGACTGTAAAATAGGCACAGTGCATGGGGTACTAGTGGGAGGGGGGAGGGTGAAGGAAGGAGATTAAGGTGATGGTATATGGTGGGTGGACTTTATAGACCTACATGAGACAGAACTAAGACACTTCTTGCAATTGTTTTAAGTGGGGCAGGGTGGGGGTTGAGGGGGAGAGACAATGTAACTAATGTATAATATAAGCCTAGTAGAAATTGTTACTATGAATCCCCAGTATAATGAGTATATCCTAAAAGTTTATAAAAAAGAATATTATTTCTCCCCAAACTGACTTATAGATCCAATACAACAGAATGAAAATCTCAGTTGGTATTCATAGAATCTAGAAGCTAATTCTAAAATCAGATAATCTTGAAATTATTAAGACTTGTTAAAAATCATAGCAATTGAGGCAATGTAATATTGACATAAATATTGATAAATAAATGGAAAAGAAGACCTATACATAGACGGATAATTGATTTTGACAAAGGAGCATGTAAAGTTGTAAGGAAAGAATAGTCATTTTAATGAATGAGGCTAATGACATTACGTATTTATACTGAAAAATATCCTTCACACCTTTACATTATAATAAAAATATCAGTCTCAGTAGATTAAACCTGAAAGGCAAAATAATAAATTTTTGCAATATTCAGGAAAAAATTTCTAATCAGAATTTAAAAAATACAATCATTACTATATTTAATAAATTCTGTTTGTCTAAAATATAAGGCCAAAAATGGGAGGAGACACAAAACTTACAAGCAAAAAGGAGCTATCAACTAAAATAGAAAAGATCTGTGAGTAAAAAACAGACAAATAACCAATCATAAAAGTGGGCAAGAAATCTGAATTGGCACTTATCAAAAGAGGATACCCAAATGGCAAAGAAGAAAAAGTACAAAATTTTATTACTTATGAATAAAAGTCAGATTCCACAATGAGATACTGCTTTGATATTCACCAGAATGTCTACTGTGAAAATTCAAGGATATGAAAACCTGGGGAAGCTAATGAATGGTGGCAAATTGATGCCATCAATTTGGGAAGGTGGCAGTATTTACTAACAAACCATGACTTCACAATAACACTCCCACATGGTACACTTTCCAGAAGTGTATGCACATGTGCAGCAAAAGAAGTGTCATGTGCATTACAGAAGCAATAAATGTGGCCAAGGTGGAAATAGCCTAGAAGTGTAACTATAGTAGAATGTATTTACATAGGATGGAAGGAAAGGATGAGAAACTACATGCAAAAGTGTGGATGAGTTTTGCAAATATAATGTTAAGGAAACAAAATCAAGCATAAAAGGGACAGACTGTACAATTCCATTTATATAAAGGTCAAAACCAGAAAATCTAATTTATTTGGTTTAGGGATGGCTAAATTATAAACCAAAAAAAGGCTTTGGTAACTATGAAAATCTGGACTGGAGGGAGGGGCATCTGGAGCATCTAAAGACCGGACAATTCATTACCTCATTACCTCACCTGAGTGTTTGTCTAACTTCTGTTGCTTAATGTGTGTTATTTTCCTGATATAAAGGGTTAAGAAATTTGATTTTGCAAGCAGAGAGAAAGGAAAGCAAGGAAACAAGGATGACTAGGGTTCCTCCCAAGAGGCAGGGGCAAAGGGACAGAGAAGGCCCACCCTGGGGGGAGGGATCAGGAAATGAACTGCTTTCTCTGCAATTTTAAGTGTTGAAGTCCAAAGGGACAAAAACCACTCAGGGGAGTGTACCGCTCTTTTGTACCAACATATCTGCTTTATAGTTCCAGAAGTCTGAGGTTATGGGGAGGAAAATCTATAATAATACTTCATTAACTTCCCTTTTATAGAAAAATGCCTGCATAGTTCTTTATCTAGAATCATTTCTTGTAAACCCCTTGGATATGAAAACTAGTTCACCTGTTATTCCAAAATATTAATTCTAATTCAATAATCAATACCAATCTGTAAGACAAAATATTTGGAATCTCATTCTCAAAGATCTGTTCTTTTTTTTCTTGCCTATGGCAACTGTAATTTCAGAGACTATAATTTCTACCTATGGGGACTAGAGGAGGAGTTTAAAGCTTTCAAATGGATCCTCACTAATGCCTGGAGAGGGGAGACACATTGGGATCTCATTCCAGCCAACCAGTACTCTTCCTTGAGGTTAAGAAATTAAGGTGGCAACAAACCTAGAGTCTGTGTGTATAGGAGAAGGGGGAGGGGGAGAGAGAGAGAGAGAGAGAGAGAGAGAGAGAGAGAGAGAGAGAGAGAAACTGACTTAGTTGCTGGGAGTAGAAACAACAGCCATTGATAACTCTGCTGTTATGTTTAAACCTTATCATTTTAGAAGAGAAACAGCTACAAAACAGTTTTGAATAAAGTAAGATAATAACTCTAAAGTTAGTTTTTTCTTTGTTTCTTCAGTTCAAGTTATTTGCAAACACATACCTCATTTATACTTTGTTGGAATGAACTCAATATATCTCAATGCTTTTACATTAAACTCATTTTAAAAACCACACATAGAATTCAAACCATAATTCTGAAAATTGAACTGATGAGGAGTTTGCATGACACACATCATCAAAAAATGTTACTTTAGCTATTACCACAATTAGTATTAATTTTGTCCCCCAGGAAAGTCACCATTTCATCCTGGCTTGCCCACTGCATTGTATAAAGCATCTTGGAGAACACAACCTCCATGTGACCCAGGTCACTTAAGCCCTTTTCTGGGCCTTAATTTTGACATTAGGAAAATAAAGAAATTGGAATCCTTACATTTTTTGACTCAAAGTTTTTCTCCCCTCATGAAGTACCCCAGTTTTCTTCCTTGAAGTTAGGGAACTCTGTGTGTCACCAGTGGTTAGTTTGGTGCCCTAGAGGGGTAGAATGTGAGGTGGGCTGGGGGACAGATTTCTGGCTTCTTCAGGAGGCAGTGTTTACCTTTCCCTGGGCAGAGGTTATGGAGGTTAAGAAAACCTGGTGAAACAGATGCCAGGGACAGATGTTACCTAATTTGGTCAAAGAACATAGAGTGTGTAAAATATTTGGAAACCCTGAACACTGCACGGGGGGGGGGGTGACACGTCCTCCGGGAAGAGCAGAAACAGCAGCTCCCTGAATTTCAGTGCTGTATCTGGGAGGCACAATGTAGTTACTATTTTAAAGTCTGGGTTTGTAGGATCTTGACTACACCAGTGAGGTGTGCTGTTGTGCAAGGCACTTGATGGCTCTGGGCCTCCACTTCCTTTTGTGTAAAGTGAGATGAACATCTAATTGATGCAGCTGTTAGGAGGATGGAATAGGACAAGGCAGAGTGGTACTTCATTAATGGAAAGTGCTCTCTTTAAAGAAAATTAATAATCTTTTAAATTCCAGGCACCTTCAGGTTTACTCGTGCTTTACTGAGAATTCTCAACATCTCAGTAGTTTTCTATAATGATAGTTTCCACGGTCTCTCATCGCTCCCTACCCAACCCCCACCTCTGGCAGCTGAAAGAAGGGCAGAGGTTCGTGGGGAAGGGCTGGTGCAAACCTGGCCCCAGGATCCCCTGGCCTCCCAGTACTGTGGGGCCTGTCATGGCGGCCCGGCGACAGCCTAGGTGATCTCAGATCGCAGTGACAGAAGAATGGAAGGGTCTAAGGGTCAGTGCTGCCCAGACTCCAGAGCTCCGCCGGCCGGGGCCGGCTCAGCCACAGCTCCCGCTCTGCTCTTCTGGGTCTCCGGAGGCGCTGGGGCCGCCCGGACCCGGGGTTCAGCCGCGTGCACCAGCGCCCACCTGGAGAGGTGGCGGTGGCTGCACCAGTAGCCGGCGGCCGAGGCGTGGGACCGGGCCGGTGGCCGAGGACCGACGCCAGCGCCCCCGAGCGTCCAGGGCCACGCGCGGGGCCGACCCAACGCTCGCGCGCCCTCCCCGCCCCCTCCGCTCCGAGCCGCGCCCCGCGGCCCCCACCCACCAGCCGCTCCTCCCTCTCCCCACCCTCCTCCTCCGCCCCCTCCTCTCCCCCGCCGCCTCGCAGACTGCACCGGCGCGCGTCGGAGCCGCCGGGCCGCAAGCGCAGGCGGCGAGTCCACCGCACCTGCAGGGAGCTCGGGCTGCCCAGTCGGGCACCTGGGTTTTCGCTGCCTGATCCCCTTCCATCCACTCGCCGGGTGGCCCATGACGCCCAAGACCCCAGGTGGGAGACAATGACCACTTCTCTGCAAGATGGGCAGAGCGCCTCGGGCAGGGCGGCTGCCCAGGACTCTCCCCTGGCCGCCCAGGTGTGCGGCGCTGCCCAGGGGAGGGGCGACGCCCACGACATGGTGCCGGCGCCCTGGCTGCACGCGCGGGCGTTCCTGCCCGCTCCGGACGGGACCCACGGCTGTGCGGCGGACAGGTAGGCAGCCCTGGAGGGCTCTGGGGGAGTGTCCTGGGTTGGCAGCGGGCGAAGGGGTGAGGAGGCTAAGAGGCGGACCTAGGGGGTGAGCCATGTGCCCAGAGCTGGACCAAGTTTGTGAAAGTCTCATAAGACAATTCCCTTTAAGCTGGCTCCTACTGGATCAGCTGGACATTGCGATCTCACAGCACCTTATAAATAGCATCTCCATTTCATTGAGAGCTTTTCTCTTGGCCCAACATCATGAACTATGAGGCCAAACTCCAGATTGACCACACTCTACTGCTGCTTAGTGGCCCTGCATTGTTTAAAAAATAAGCAGTCTTTTTATTTTCAAGGTTTGAAAGAATCAAAGCATAAATGGATCACCTCCCACAGACTATTACAGCAACCCTGGAGAAGCAAGGCATGGATTGACATTTGAGCAGTCTTTACTGTTCACAGGAAAGAATAGAGGCTTTAAAAGGTTTTCCAGTCCCCACAGCATTCAGCACTAAGTGCCTTTAGAGTTGCACATACTTTAGGAAAGAAAAAGACTACAACAGTACAAAAAATAATCTGTGCTTCTTTATGTTCATGCATTTAAACGGTACTGCTTTTCCTTCAGATTTTCAAAGTGCTCTGAATTCAGTCAAGTTCAAATTACTCTCCAGTGAACTACAGTACATTTTTACAAGCAAGTTCTATCAACTTACCTCCTCAGAAACACTGCCTTGCTGTTTAGTATGTATATAAGCATTTGAAAAATCAGCAGACTGTGTGTGGGCAAACATTGTGAATGAAATTTGAAGTGAGATGAACCAAAGCTATAATTAATAAATCATAACTTCCAAAAGTGATTAGTAACTTAATATAGGGATGAATTCACGAAATGAAACTTAAAGACTTTGTCAGTTTAATGGATGCATAACAGTGTCTGGCTTCTCAGGATAATTTTTGTATTAGTAATTATATGATCCATATTGCTGCTTCACAAAGATTGTTAAAAGTGCAGGAAATGGAGTTTCCAGCCTAGTGATATTTCTAAAGGTAAAAAAGAGATAGGAACACTATAGATTATTCGTATAATTAGCATATTTTACTTCGATCCACAGAAAGTACATTACAGACCTTTCCTGTATAGTTTATATAACATTAGCATTGTCACAGAGTGGTACATGTTGGCCTCAACAGCACTTTTTAATCCTGACAGCAATTATATTTTACATTCTGTTTTATGTAAATTATATCCTATGTTCTCTTGGTGTAGGAGAAAAAAGAGAGATCTGGATGTTCTGGAAATGCCACCTATTCCAAATCCTTTTCCTGAGTTGTGCTGTTCTCCATTTACATCTGTGTTGTCAGCAGGCCTATTTTCCAAAACTAATTCAAGGAAAAAGCAGGTATGGGTTTTTAAATTTTTCTAATTCATATATCTTGGGAGTTCTAAATCCATATGGTATTTAAAATTTTTGGTAGCTTATATTATTAAGCAGAAGCATTGCCTATGTTAAATGACTACTGACTGACATAGCCCTTTGGAATTGCTTTTCTATTAGGGCCTCAGTTTTCTCAGCTGTATAATGGCATGTAAAAAGTTACCTCTTAGTAGGGCTTAAAAGAGCATAAATATAAAGTAGTGTCTTAGAGCTATCATCATTTTTCAGGTAGGTAGGAGAGTTTTATAGGATAATAGATTATCAATTTTAAGTTCCACTTTTACTTGGAAAGGGGAGGGACAGTGGTTGTGGGGTGAACAGGAGACTGACTGTTTCTTTAATACCTTGTTTCATCTTACACATTTCAGCCTTTGCCATCCTCATTTGCTAAAGGGATGTGATAGAGTGAATCTGGCAAAAGGTAATTGGAGTTTAGGGCTTGACCTATCTTCTTCATTTCAGTCAATTCCATACTTTGAAGACTCTGATTGTAGAAGGCATATGATGTGATTAGAAGACAGACTTTTTAAGAAATGATTTTCTTTCTTTTCAAGTTTCTAGTTTGAGACTGACACACACAAATTAGACTGTAATGACCAAGCAACTAAGAGGCAGTGCACCATGATTATGCATTTTGAGAAAAAAGATCAGTGTATCTAGAATACTCATCTCTTGTCATATACTTCAAGTTTGAATGAGCAAAACAAAGAGGAGCTTTGTCTGTCAAAATGCACCTTGTTCTTGTAAGGGTAGAAGCAATAAATGTAAGCAGCTAGGTACTCATAGTGAGGAGAGGCATAATGGTCAGTGTGGGTAGAGGACAGTTGGTCATTTTCCCCATCTATTTTTCTCTTGCCTTTTTCTATACCTTTATTACCTCTGATGGATTCAGTGATTTGCATTTATACTTTTGGGAATGGAGGAAATACCCTAGGATGTAGGTGAATTGTTAATGAAATAGAGCAATAACAAAGATGGTAGGAAACATTGTCTTTTGATGAAGTCTGATACACACACACACATACACATACTTTGGAGGGGATAGCTTAACTGAACTATAATTTTTGACTGGAGAGATAGGCAAAGAAGGTAATCTCTCAAGAACTTTGTTATTAGGGTGAAGTTTAAAGTCAAATCTCAAGATAAAATTGGCCCTACTAAAACATCTAAGCCCTTTGAGAGTTTGGCTTTTGGGTCAGAATATAAAATGGGAATAGGGATGATTGATTTGACTGTGTGCCATGATGGTGGAAAACTGATTCTGGATTGTATCATCAGAGTGAAAAAGGAGTTGTCTAATGGTGACATTATATTCATTTAGAGAAATTTAATGGATAATTTTCCTTGTTATGGAAGGCTTGCCACATTTCTCACACCATGCTAGGCACCAGGGACCTAACTAAGAAGAAATGCTAGCCAATGAGTGTTTTACCAAAGTGTGACTTTTGTTTGGGATAGGGGTAGGGGTTGAACAGGGGATAGGAAGTAAAGAGAGAGGTCTGGACTCTCACTTCAATTTTATGAATGAACACAGAATGACTATGTCTCAGAGATACTTGATGACACAGGGGTTGTTTTGAATAGAAAGCTCAAGTAAGTGTTGGTATGTTCACGATAATATAACAGGGAAAAAGAAAGACTGTGGGTAACATGTTAGGGTTAAGGCAGGATGTTTGGGTATCTGAATGGTCAAACCACCAGAGTAACATGGATTGGAGAGTTACATTTTTTTTCAGGTTATCTTAACAAATTGGAAAATTGAAAAAAATGCTATGTGTTGTTATTGAGTCCAGTAGCTTTCCTGCTTTGGCCCTGAGTCCTGTGTCCAGTGGGACCAAGAGTAATGTCCCTACACAGCAGCTGTACTGTTTCATGAACAGAGTCCTGACTTGACTTCTAGTGACCAATCCCAGATGGGTGTACCAATTTTGAAGACCACCTCTTGCCATTATCTTCTTGGGCCCCAGAGCAGGGGACTGTATGAAGAAAAGGGTATCCTATATATATTTATTTTTTATTTTTATTTTATTTTTTGATGGTACTGGGGTTTGAACTCAGGGCCTCACACTCGATATGCAGGTGCTCTACCACTTGAGCCACTCTAAAGTTGTGGAAGAAGGCTCCATTTTACTTTCTTTTATGTTCCTCCCACACGCCTAGACTTTGCATTTAAAACTGATCCTTTTGTTTTTATTCTTTTGTACATGTTCTTTGGAATGATGGAAGTTTTGAGAATATTTGACTCTGTGTCAGTAATTTCCCCAAGCTCAGTATCTTTGTGACCCACATATTCTTTTTACGAGATGGTATTTCTGACCCAATTATTTCTAGCCTTCAATTGAGATGATGTAAACGATAGTATTTAATTGTATTATCCTAATGAATATTATCTATGACTGAAACATTACAGGATAATGTCTCTTTTCTTTATTTTCTCTTTTATCTGTTTTGCTTAACCATTCTTTTCTACCCATAGGAAGAGTAAAGAATTGTTACTGGTTATTTACATTTGAATGAAAGTACACATACAAATACACATATATGTAATAATAATATATTATTATTTGCAATAATAATATATGTTACAGTTTGAGATGCCTATACAAAACATAAGTAGTAAAGTACATTGAAGCCACAAATAGGATGCATTTTATCTCTGCAGATAACATGTCCCAAAGTATACAATATTGTAGGCTTTTAGTATTATTTTAAAAAGACAACTGGAATGAGAATCTTTATTCTTTATTTTCTCTGCCTTTTTTTATTGATGCTGACTACATAAAGCCTATTTCTTTGTGTTTGCCAGTAATACAGTTTTTCAAATTCAAATAATTTTTGTGCTTAGACACAGTTCATGTGGGAGCTATGGCCAATTGCTTCCCAAAACTATATAGTAGAACTAATGCAGAATGAAGTCTCTGAACATATTAAAGATTAAATCCTATGAAAAACTGTAAGGAGAGATGTTTGAGGTCATATAGTCTACTGCTCTTCTTTTACATATGTATAAGTTGAGCCTAAGAAATGGTAGGTGGCTAGGAGTGGCGTAATGAGGAACTGAAATCTGGATTTCTTGAAGATTTGACAGTAACTTTTTAAAGAAGATACAATTTCCAAAGAAAGCAAGGACCATAAAAGTACTATAATTAATACACTTTATATCACCCATAATATAAGACTAGCAGGGGTGACAAGTACCATTTGTTAATATTTCTCTAAGGACCTGGAACTTCTCTTTTTTTCTTTCCCAAAATGTGACTAACTCTCTATGTTTTTCCTCTACTGAAATTGAAATTAAAAATCCAACAAATAATTGGCTCTATCAAGTGATATTTGTTAGTATTAATACTAACAGTTTTTATGTATATACTCCACTGCATTTTAGCCAATGAAAACCGTAGGAAGTGAGTCTGTCATCTAAATTTTAAGATTTAAAAATGAATGTGTAAAAACTGGAAGTGATTTACCCATGTTTCCACAGTTTAAGTTAAGTGAAATAAAAATATTATATATGTTTTGTACCTTATCACACCTCATCTGGTCTATTCTGTGTGAAGTAAGCTTTTTTTGTACATCTCAAAAAAGATAAAGCGTGTCTTCCAAATAATTAAGAAATTAGCTTTCCATATGCTTTGTCTTTGATTTCCCTTTTCTCTAATGTTTCAAGGACTTTCAAAGGAAAAGTAGGTCTCTGTCCTCAAATTAAAAGGCCTCTTATGTCACTCTTTTGTGATACCAATAATTATTCCAGTTTGTATGTACTGAACCTGTATTTGTGGTCAAAGGGATCTTTGTGGCTGCTATATTAACTGAACTCTTATATGCTCATTTCTCTAGTATACATAGACACAGGAAGACATAAACTCTACCCTTACACTTTCAGCTTTCTAGACACAGCACTTATCAAGATTTTTGCCTCATTTTCTTCATCTATTCCTTAAATTTTTCATTTTCTTTGCTGAATTATTTTGGAGTAAGTCCTAAATATCCTATCATTACAGACCTGCCTAGTTTTGTATGTATTTCTGAAAAACACATTTAAAAATATAACCCAAATGCCATTATTACCTAACAAAAATAACAACAATTCCTTGGTATCATCTAAAGCCATCCATAATCAAATTTTCTCAGTTGGAATGGCACACGAAATCCTCAAATTACAAATGGGTTATGTTTCAAAAGTCTGCAAATTAGCTCTTTGAAAGTTTGATTCATTTTCAGATGGAAGCAACAACATAAATTGTGTTTAGGCCCTCCAAGCTATTTTATAAAATCCCATTTAATGTGAAATGAAACACGAATATATATGCAGAAAGAGTAATAGAAACAATACTTGTTTCTATTTGTGTTTCAAACAAATCTATCTTTGTAACAGCAGTTTTCTTCTTTTGAGTGCTGGTACTTGATGAATATCATTTTTTTGGAGAAGAATTTAAAACTGTACAGATCTCTAACATCTACAGTGTTAAAGTAGCCTGCAGAGAAGTGCTTCTCAAAGTGTGGTCACTAAACCATCTTCCTCAGAATACTTGGACTTCTTGCAAAACCCACTGAATAATGGGTTCTTGGTGGGAATAATTCCTGGGAAATTTGACTTTTTATATATTTTTCTCTGACATGTACAAAATTGGTGCTATTTTTATTCTCTACCACTTTCAGACTGTGTCAATCTGACCTTGCAAAACTGTGGACAAATCTATTTATTTGAGAAAAAGTGGGGATATTGAAAATGGACTTTAGTAGTTATTGTAGCTACTTATTGATTGTTGGAGATGAACTTCAAATGAACTAGTCTGAAAGGTTATGTTTTAGTGCCTGAAGGCCAGAAGTTCACTGGTCTCATGAGAGACTGGAGCTGAGAACTAGAGTGTCAGCACACATCAAGGAAACCACCTTCCCCCTTTTATTCCCCCTCAAGCACACCACATGGTCTCTGCATTACTGCTCATGAACAGCTGCCCCTA